GGTCCGCTAATCCCAAGTCTTAAAAGTCGGTCAAAAACAGAGAAAGCGCGCGAAATTCACCTAATAAGTGGCAACATCTACCATGTGATCTGCTACATGCACCGCGCATAGGGAGAGTCGTCATGGCAGATCGTAGGTCAGAAGAGTCTTAGCAAAGCCTTCACTTAAACAAGACTGTTTGCAGTTACGTGTTGATTGTTTGATTCAAATTAGATTCCATTGTGTTGGAAATTATTTCGATATTGTGTCAATTATTGTATGGTTTGTATTACGGATAAAGGCATTTGCATGGTTCACTGTAGTGTCGGTATTAAATGCACATAGGTGTATGACTCTGCACATGTATCAATATGGGCGACCCGTAAAATGGGCCGACAATGTACATGTAGTAGCAGTACTATTTTACTCGTAATTACAAAACATAACCCGCTGTGAGTTATATTGGGTTTTTGATCTAATTTGATGCAGGATATGGTTGACGTCAATGTATACAAGTATGGTTGAAAACAAGTATTTAAATAGGCCACATAAAACAAACATGTTTAGCGTCCTGCTTTTTTGAAAAAAAAGGAAGCGGTAGGCCCTTTTTTCCCCTTCCAAAATGGCCGCCCGGCCGGGCTATTTTTCAAGATGGCCGCCAGTATGTTTTTGTTAATGGCCGTCATTGGACCTAGGAAATGACTTACAAGCTTTATATGGGCACGAGTGGTCTAGCAGTGGAGCACAGAATTCATGATTATGTCACTGTTTAAAATTTATCATATTTTCGGTTAAAAAAGAAAGGAAAACAAGGCCTCCAAAAAGGAAGAGGGCTGGGACGCCAAACATGTTTTTGTTTATTTGTCCTTAAAGGTTTTACTATTTATTTGAAAATGTGATTCGGATTCAGCGACACAATAAAACACGTGATCAAGGTTATGAGATCAAGTATTTAATTTTGTTTAGGTTTTAACAAATGGATATAATTTGCCCAATAATGGGGAAACCATTTGCTCAATAATTGGCACAACATTTGCTCAAGTATTTAGCAAACTATGCCCAATGGGGTTGGGCAGTATTTTTTGGACACATGCCCAGTAGTTGGTCCAAAATTGGGTATATTTGTTACCATTTCTTGATTAAACTAATCACCCAAAGTTCGGGTTATTTTTTAAGCATCAACTGACATATCAAATACCCAACAAATGGGTGAAAATTTAACAAGTTGTTTGGTAATCCAACTTAATCAACTATTAGAAGATGTGCATTTGCCCAAATGTTGGGTGTTTTGTGTGCCCAATAAAAATGGGCAATATTTTGCCCAAATGTTGGACTTGTTAACTATTCGCCCTTTGTTGGGTAAAAATTGGGCATTTATTTGCACATTTTTTTTTACAGTGGACACCACAAAATTTCTTTGATAACATTAAACCACACAAATTAGGTTGGCATTACGTTTGAAGCCTATCAGCATTTGGCATAATCCTTCTGTCCAAAAATAAAACAAACAGTTTGTAGTGCATCAACACGTTTCGACTGTGTAGGAGCCAAACAGGCATTCCATACTCCAACATGCGTAGAACCAAAGTCCTATCGAGGCAAATCTTCGCAGGAACTGAACAATTGATAGGGATAGGTTTAAAAAGGTCTAGCCTACGATTGGATGCATGGGATAACAACAGTTTCGACTTGATCATACCAGGATAAGCGAGCTCTCGGAGCGACCGTAACTACAAATGGATGTGACACATTGTAAGGGAGATCCAGAAAGAGAAAGAATAATGATGAACATTTTCACGATCTTCAAAAAAACTCTTTTTTTCACGATATAGAAGCCTTCCTACATCTGTATAAAAATAGTAATCCTTTATCATTGTCATTAAAAACAAAATTCCATGAGTCAACTATTCCATATGTCATTATTTTACAGCAAACAGAATCTACTGGGCTAATTTCTTTATGATGTCATTGAATTCTCTGACCTCACGGGTGCGGGTCGCACTACAGTTGCCGCCTTCAGCTCCAATTTCAATGTACGAAGCCTTGGTCTCCACAATGAATACGTCTACTGGACCGATCTGGCTTTTCGAAACCTAGGCCGTGTCGACATTTCGCAAGGTGCACCTGTAACTTACCATGGGCCTGAAGTTTTTTCCGGTCCACTAGGTTTTCACTTTTTCAAAGGTAATTGAGAAGTTAGTTTTAATGCGAATAGCTCGGATATTTGAAGGAAAACATGAAGAGTCAAGGCAAGAACTAATAGCCAAACTCCAAAAACGGCAATTTGCCTCAATTATAAATTAAATTTCATTTTAAAAACAAAAATATACATTTAAATCCATAGCAGGGCCGTGGCCATTTGTAACGAACCATTATGTGTTTTGGCCATGTGTGCCAATTTTGAGGCTGCAGACATTCACACTTTAAAACATTCACCTTTACATTATTTTTAGGCCCTACAATTCAGCATGTGTTTACAACTAGCAGAATGGCCCTTTTTTACTCCATTGTTAGCCCTCCAAAAAGCCATTTGACATCCACCAAATAACCATCCACCAAATAACTTGGTTTTGTCGGTAAATATCATTGTCATGTCGGCAAAAATCAAGTGTTTGGCGGCGTAAATTGAAGCTGCAATGAATAATAACCGCATCATTGATTTTCCTTGATATTGGTTAAGTTTGTTATCGACATACCTTTATTTGAACAAGAATATTATAGACTTCTTGTGGGTGTGGGTATTTTGGGACGTGCTTGGCTTGAGATTTCGCATTCCGTAGCTGCCAGAACTGTTAAGCATATAGTAAGATTTTCTCAACAAAATGAGAAGGTCTACAGCCTGGTCGTAATTCTCAGAATGCGTATTCATTGACCACGTCTCCGTGTTTTATCATCACAAGGAATATGTGTTAAATTTAACATGACATAGTTAACATGTCCGTCACATACCAAGAATGCAAAATTGAAACTTGTAATAATGTTAATTAATTGATTCACACAGCAGTGGTGTTATTATTCCACCAAATCAAATTGCAGGTACTACTGAAATACCTCGAATTTCAACAACAGAATTTCCCGTCGAAGGTTTGTAAATCCTTTACTTCCAATGTTTGTTTTACATTTTGTTTTATTCAGCTTATTTCTGAGTACACGTTCCATTGACAAGTGGTATGTTCATGGGAGGGTTTGACGCCTGTATAAAATATGTTCTTCTTGCAAGCCAACCGTTGTTATCATTTCTATTTTTAATCATTCATTCATTCATTTCAATTAAACAGTGACGTCAGAATCATCCTCCACCAATCAGCCAATCTCACCAGATTTGACAGCAACGCCTACGGCGTTATCGAAGGAATCTTGTTTTAGATGCTATAGAAGTTTGATTATATTCTTGATTATGTTTACTTTTTCATCAGCATCGAGTTTTAACATGTCTTGGTGCAAGGTCTGTTGACGTAGTGTATCACAATCAGTCGTATGCCTAATCAGGGCTATCGAGTGTTTCTAAGTCAAATCTCGAAACTTTTAAAATTGTGTCATTTCATATCACAACGATATGCCTACGATCTTAATCCTCGAGAAACATCACAAGCGGTAAATGACTGAAGAATTACAAATATTTGTGATATCCAAATCAACTCGTCTATCATGGTGCCATGTTACTTCGAATTTTCAAATGCTCGAGCTGCCAGATGTTATTATCCGAAAGTTGAGGACTTTTTCTTCAGAAACTCGCAATACCTGAAACAAATGAGTAGGTCTACAACTTGGTCATAATACTCATAATTCGTTGTAGGTGGCAAAGTGTCCGTGTTTAATCATCTGAAGGAATATTTGTTACAAGTTAGGGCAGTTATTGTGTTAAATACCAAGTATGCATTTTTTTTTTACATTGAATAAACAATATCCAACATTTTTTTATTACTAAATTTACACGGCAGTGGTGTTATGATTCCATTAAAATCTTTTTGTTTATCTCCAGGCACCACTGGAATGTCTCAGGTTTCAACAACAGAGCGTTCCGTCGAAGGTTTGTGAATCATTTAATTCCAATGTTTGTTTGAAATTTAGTTTCATTGATCGTTCTGCACTCAACTGAATACACGTTTCATTGATAAGTGGTATGTTTATGGTAGTGTTCTTCACCTATATTAAATAATGTTCTTCGGACTGTGCAACCGTTGTTTTCATTGTTATTGTTCAATACTTTGTTTGGTATTTAATTATTCAATGACGTCAGAATCATCCTCCACCAATCAGCCCATCTCACCAGACTCGACCGCAACGCCTTCTGCCTTATCAATGAAAATTTGATGATATTTATGATGTGTTCTTACTGTAGTTTCATTGCATCATGGTTGAATATGCCGTGATCCATGGTGGGTGACGTGGTGTATCAGTATCAGTCGTATGCCTAATAAGGGCTATCGACTGTTTCTCTGTCAAATTTCAAACTTTCAAAATGGTATCGTTTCATATCACGACGATGTGGCTACGATCTTAATCCTTTAGAAACGTCACAAACGGTAAATTAATGAATTTAAAATATTTCTGAAGCCCAAACAAATCACAAAGCTGGAAAGTGGTCCATTGTCACTTGTTATTGTTCTGCTATGAAATACGGGATATTAGAAAACCTTCGGCAAAGCAGATCGCCTGGTAAGCGAAACAAAGACCTCGTCTATTATGGTGGCAAGTTACTTCGAATTTTCGAATTCTCGAGCTGCCAGATATATTATACGAAAGTTGAGGACTTTTTCTTCAGAAACTTTCAATACCTGAAACAAATGAGTAGGTCTACAACGTGGCAATAATACTCATAATCGTTGTAGGTGGCAAAGTTTCCGTGTTTAATCATCTGAAGGAATATTTGTTACAAGTTAGGGCAGTTATTGTGTTAATCACATACCAAGTATGCATTTTTTTTGATATTGAATAAAGAATAGCCAACTTTTTTTTATAACTAAATTTACACGGCATTGGTGTTATGATTCCATTAAAATCTTTTTGTTTATCTCCAGGCACCACTGAGATGTCTCAGGTTTCAAGAACAGAGCGTCCCGTCGAAGGTTTGTGAATCATTTTTTCCAATGTTTGTTTGAAATTTAGTTTCATTGAGCGTTTTGCACTCAACTGAATACACGTTTCATTGATAAGTGGTATGTTCATGGTAGTGTTCTTCACCTATATTAAATAATGTTCTTCGGACTGTGCAACCGTTGTTTTCATTGTTATTGTTGAATACTTTGTTTGGTATTTAATTATTCAACGACGTCAGGATCATCCTCCACCAATCAGCCCATCTCACCAGACTCGACCGCAACGCCTACTGCTTTATCAATGGAATCTTCTTTTCGAGGTTAGTGTATGAATTTGATGATATTCATGATGTGTTCTTACATGTAGTTTCATTGCATCATGGTTGAATATGCCGTGATCCATGGTGGGTTGGCGTGGTGTATCAGAATCTGTCGTAAATGCCTTGTAAGGGGTATCGACTGTTTCTCTGTCAAATTTCAAACTATCAAAATGGTATCATTTCATATCACGACGATGTGTCTACGATCTTAATCCTTTAGAAACGTCACAAACGGTAAATTAATGAATTTAAAATATGTCTGAAGCCCCAACATATCACAAATGCCGGAAAGTGGTCCATTGTCACTTGTTCTTGTTCTGCTATGAAATACGGGATATTAGAAAACCTTCGGCAAAGCAGATCGCCTGGTAAGCGAAACAAAGACCTCGTCTATTATGGTGGCATGTTACTTCGAATGTTCGAATTCTCGAGCTGCCAGATGTTATTATCCGAAAGTTGAGGACTTTTTCTTCAGAAACTCTCAATACCTGAAACAAATGAGTAGGTCTACAACGTGGTCATAATACTCATCATTCGTTGTAGGTGGCAAAGTGTCCGTGTTTAATCATCTGAAGGAATATTTGTTACAAGTTAGGGCAGTTATTGTGTTAATCACATACAAAGTATGCATTTTTTTTACATTGAATAAACAATAGCCAACATTTTTTTTTTACTAAATTTACACGGCATTGGTGTTATGATTCCATTAAAATCTTTTTGTTTATCTCCAGGCACCACTGGAATGTCTCAGGTTTCAACAACAGAGCGTCCCGTCGAAGGTTTGTGAATCATTTTTTTCCAATGTTTGTTTGAAATTTAGTTTCATTGAGCGTTTTGCACTCAACTGAATACACGTTTCATTGATGAGTGGTATGTTCATGATAGTGTTCTTCACCTATATTAAATAATGTTCTTCGGACTGTGCAACCGTTGTTTTCATTGTTATTGTTCAATACTTTGTTTGGTATTTGATTATTCAATGACGTCAGGATCATCCTCCACCAATCAGCCCATCTTACCAGACTCGACCGCAACGCCTACAGCTATATCAATGGAATCTTCTTTTCGAGGTTAGTGTATGAAATTTGATGATATTCATGATGTGTTCTTACATGTAGTTTCATTGCATCATGGTTGAATATGCCGTGATCCATGGTGGGTTGACGTGGTGTATCAGAATCAGTCGTATGCCTTATAAGGGCTAATGTCTGTTTCTCTGTCAATTTTCAAACTATCAAAATGGTATCATGTCATATCACGACGATGTGTCTACGATCTTAATCCTTTAGAAACGTCACAAACGGTATATGAATTAATGAATTTAAAATATTTCTGAAGTCCCAAACAAATCACAAATGCTGGAAAGTGGTCCATTGTCACTTGTTATTGTTCTGCTATGAAATACGGGATATTAGTAAACCTTCGGCAAAGCAGATCGTCTGGTAAGCCAAAAAAGGACCTCGTCTATTATGGTGCCATGTTACGTCGAATGTTCGAATTCTCGAGCTGCCCGATGTTATTATCCGAAAGTTGAGGACTTTTTCTTCAGAAATTCTCAATACCTGAAACAAATGAGTAGGTCTACAACGTGGTCATAATACTCATCATTCGTTGTAGGTGGCAAAGTGTCCGTGTTTAATCATCGAGGGAATATTTGTTACAAGTTAGGGCAGTTATTGTGTTAATCACATACAAAGTATGCATTTTTTTTACATTGAATAAACAATAGCCAACATTTTTTTATTACTAAATTTACACGGCATTGGTGTTATGATTCCATTAAAATCTTTTTGTTTATCTCCAGGCACCACTGGAATGTCTCAGGTTTCAACAACAGAGCGTCCCGTCGAAGGTTTGTGAATCATTTATTTCCAATGTTTGTTTGAAATTTAGTTTCATTGAGCGTTTTGCACTCAACTGAATACACGTTTCATTGATAAGTGGTATGTTCATGATAGTGTTCTTCACCTATATTAAATAATGTTCTTCGGACTGTGCAACCGTTGTTTTCATTGTTATTGTTCAATACTTTGTTTGGTATTTGATTATTCAATGACGTCAGGATCATCCTCCACCAATCAGCCCATCTCACCAGACTCGACTGCAACGCCTACTGCTATATCAATGAAATCTTCTTTTCATGGTTACTGTATGAAATTTGATGATATTCATGATGTGTTCTTACATGTAGTTTCATTGCATCATGGTTGAATATGCCGTGATCCATGGTGGGTTGACGTAATGTATCAGAATCAGTCGTATGCCTTATAAGGGTTATCGACTGTTTCTCTATCAAATTTCAAACTATAAAAATTGTATCATTTCATATCACGACGATGTATCTACGATCTTAATCCTTTAGAAACGTCACAAACGGTAAATTAATGAATTTAAATATTTCTGAAGTCCCAAACAAATCACAAATGCTAGAAAGTGGTCCATTGTCACTTGTTCTTGTTCTGCTATGAAATACGGGATATTAGAAAACCTTCGGCAAAGCAGATCGCCTGGTAAGCGAAACAAAGACCTCGTCTATTATGGTGGCAGGTTACTTCGAATTTTCGAATTCTCGAGCTGCCAGATATATTTCCGAAAGTTGAGGACTTTTTCTTCAGAAATTCTCAATACCTGAAACAAATGAGTAGGTCTACAACGTGGTCATAGTACTCATAATTCGTTGTAGGTGGCAAAGTTTCCGTGTTTAATCATCTGAAGGAATATTTGTTACAAATTAGGGCAGTTATTGTGTTAATCACATACCAATTATGCATTTTTTTTTACATTGGATAAACAATAGACAACATTTGTTTATAACTAAATTTACACGGCATTGGTGTTATGATTCCATTAAAATCTTTTTGTTTATCTCCAGGCACCACTGGAATGTCTCAGGTTTCAACAACAGAGCGTCCCGTCGAAGGTTTGTGAATCATTTATTTCCAATGTTTGTTTGAAATTTAGTTTCATTGAGCGTTCTGCACTCAACTGAATACACGTTTCATTGATAAGTGGTATGTTCATGATAGTGTTCTTCACCTATATTAAATAATGCTCTGCGGACTGTGCAACCGTTGTTTTCATTGTTATTGTTGAATACTTTTTTGGTATTTAATTATTCAATGACGTCAGGATCATCCTCCACCAATCAGCCCATCTCACCAGACTCGACCGCAACGCCTACTGCTATATCAATGAAATCTTCTTTTCGAGGTAAGTGTATGCAATTTGATGATATTCATGTTGTGTTCTTACATGTAGTTTCATTGCATCATGGTTGAATATGCCGTGATCCATGGTGGGTTGGCGTGGTGTATTAGAATCTGTCGTAAATACTTGTAAGGGCTATCGACTGTTTCTCTGTCAAATTTAAGACTATCAAAATGGTATCATTTATATCACGACGATGTGTCTACGATCTTAATCCTTTAGAAACGTCACAAACGGTAAATTAATGAATTTAAAATATTTCTGAAGCCCCAACAAATCACAAATGCTGGAAAGTGGTCCATTGTCACTTGTTATTGTTCTGCTATGAAATACGGGATATTAGAAAACCTTCGGCAAAGCGATCGCCTGGTAAGCGAAACAAAGACCTCGTCTATTATGGTGGCATGTTACTTCGAATTTCGAATTCTCGAGCTGCCAGATATATAATCCGAAAGTTGAGGACTTTTTCTTCAGAAACTCTTAATACCTGAAACAAATGAGTAGGTCTACAACGTGGTCATAATACTCATAATTCGTTGTAGGTGGCAAAGTTTCCGTGTTTAATCATCTGAAGGAATATTTGTTACAAGTAGGGCAGTTATTGTGTTAATCACATACCAAGTATGCATTTTTTTTTTACATTGAATAAACAATAGCCAACATTTTTTAATTACTAAATTTACACGGCACTGGTGTTATGATTCCATTTAAATCTTTTTGTTTATCTCCAGGCACCACTGGAATGTCTCAGGTTTCAACAACAGAGCGTCCCGTCGAAGGTTTGTGAATCATTTATTTAATGTTTGTTTGAAATTTAGTTTCATTGAGCGTTCTGCACTCAACTGAATACACGTTTCATTGATAAGTGGTATGTTCATGGTAGTGTTCTTCACCTATATTAAATAATGTTTTTCGGACTGTGCAACCGTTGTTTTCATTGTTATTGTTCAATACTTTGTTTGGTATTTAATTATTCAATGACGTCAGAATCATCCTCCACCAATCAGCCCATCTCACCAGACTCGACTGCAACGCCTACTGCTTTATCAACGGAATCTTCTTTTCGAGGTTTGGGTATGAAATTTGATGATATTCATGATGTGTTCTTACATGTAGTTTCATTGCATCATGGTTGAAAATGCCGTGATCCATGGTGGGTTAACGTGGTGTATCAGTATCAGTTGTATGCCTAATAAGGGCTATCGACTGTTTCTCTGTCAAATTTCAAACTATCAAAATGGTATCATTTCATATCACGACGATGTGTCTACGATCTTAATCCTTTAGAAACGTCACAAACGGTAAATTAATGAATTTAAAATATTTCTGAAGTCCAAAACAAATCACAAATGCTGGAAAGTGGTCCATTGTCACTTGTTGTTGTTCTGCTATGAAATACGGATATTAGAAAAACCTTCGGAAAAAGCAGATCGCCTGGTAAGCGAAACAAAGACCTCGTCTATTATGGTGGCATGTTACTTCGAATTTCGAATTCTCGAGCTGCCAGATATATAATCCGAAAGTTGAGGATTTTTTCTTCAGAAACTCTCAATACCTGAAACAAATGAGTAGGTCTACAACGTGGTCATAATACTCATAATTCGTTGTAGGTGGCAAAGTTTCCGTGTTTAATCATCTGAAGGAATATTTGTTACAAGTTAGGGCAGTTAATGTGTTAATCAATACCAAGTATACAATTGTTGTTTTACGTTGAATACACATTTACCAAAATTTGTGATTACTAAATTTACACGGCATTGGTGTTATGATTCCATTAAAATCTTTTTGTTTATCTCCAGGCACCACTGAAATGACTCAGGTTTCAACAACAGAGCGTCCCGTCGAAGGTTTGTGAATCATTTATTTCCAATGTTTGTTTGAAATTTAGTTTCATTGAGCGTTCTGCACTCAACTGAATACACGTTTCATTGATAAGTGGTATGTTCATGGTAATGTTCTTCACCTATATTAAATAATGTTCTTCGGACCATGCAACCGTTGTTTTCATTGTTATTGTTCAATACTTTGTTTGGTATTTAATTATTCAATGACGTCAGGATCATCCTCCACCAATCAGCCCATCTCTCGAGATTCGACCGCAACGCCTACTGCTATATCAATAGAATCTTCTGTTAGATGTAAATGAAGTTTGATGATATTCATGATATATTCTTACATGAAGTTTCGTTGCATCACGTCTTAATACGCCGTGATGCAAGGTCTTTTGACGTGGTGTATCACAATTAAGATAAGTCGTAAGCCTGACAAGGGTTATGAGTGTTTCTCAGTCAAATATAAAGCTATTTAAATGGTGTCATTTCAATATCACGACGATATAACTACGATCTTAATCCTGTAAAAAATGAATGAATAATTGTATCCACTTGTAGTGTAGAAAATCATTTTTAATCAATTTCACTCATTGCTTCATATCTACAAAAAGTATTGTTGACGAAAGCGGAACGTATAATTATAAAACATTGTTCAAACAATAAGTATTGATATTTGATAATTACGCTATATCGTGACTGTTTTTTTTTGTTTATTTTTTAAATTTGTTTCGTTTGCTTCTTTTACTTTTAATTTTACGCCAATGTTCTATCAACATTGACTCAGTCGTAATCAACTGAGTCCAGAAACACCGAGACTGGGCCAGTTAATAACGTTTTCTCATCTGACTCTCATTTAGACTTCACTACCACTTCAGTGGGAAATACGGATTACATAACTGACCTCAGTACATTATTCACTGTTTGATTGTTTTTTTTTGGTTTTGGGTTTTTTTTTTTTGGGGGGGGAGGGGTTGCTTCTTCTTTGACTTTGTGCGCCGATTATTCATCGACAGTGACAAACCTAGTTTGAACTGAAGGGATGTCCGCAGCTCCTGAGTCTAAGGCCACCTAGGCTAGGCCAGGCATCGTTATCACATTGTGCTTCCATTTATACGGCACTACCTAGCCATTGAGCAAAGCGGCTCACATAACATAACTAATGTCATCTTTCATTCTATGCAACATTGTTGACTGTATGT